GTCGCTTCTTCCCGTCCTTTGTCAAGTCCGCCGTCTGGTTCTCACCGCAGCCTCCAGGCGGGAATGTTTCTCTTGCTTTCGGCACCTCGACGGCCGACCTTTGCACTGACGTTCGTGTGTGCTGCTGATTTGTGTTGAGAATGAAGTATTTATCAGCCGGGGCCTGCCCAAGGAGACCCGAGTATTATTCAGCACAATAAAATGGAATGTGTGTACCTTTGGGCGTCTTCTTTCCCGCGCCGCTCCTTCCCCACCTCCCTCGGCCCGGCCGGGACTCGGAGGCTCCTGGTCTGTGGCGTTCTAGAGCCCTGGGGTCGTCTAGTCCAGCCCCCCACCCCACCCCACCCCACCCCTGAGGCCTTGAAGAGAGGGCCGGAGTGCACCTGGAAGAAAGGAAGACACCTGTGCCTCTGAACATGCCCAGAGGGCTTGTTGATTACCCCTCTGGGCTCGGGCGTGTGGGGGGTGAGGGTGCGGATCGGGTCCAGCGGGAGCAGCAGGCCTTCGGAAGCACAGCGCGCTGCGGACCAAGCAGAGGAAGAGGCTCCGGGGCTCCCGGCGGGCGTCCCGAACCGGGCTGGACTCTCCTTTCCTTCTACAAAGGGGGGGGGGAGAGATTGGGGGCTCCTCCCGGCAGTCCAGCGCCCCCTTTCTTCAGAGTAAAGGAGGTGCCCCGCCAGGAGTTCTTCTCAGCGCCGACGACCCCCAGCCAAGAGGGCCGAGAAGGCCGGCCACACGGACCCCCCCCCCCCCGCCCGGCGGCTTCCCCCCCCCAGCTTGGCAACTTATGACTGATTGATTGGTCTGATTCTTACCCCGCCCTCCCCGCCGAGGCAGGCTCAGGGCGGCTGACAGAAGAACCATAGATCAAACACGCGTATAAACATCAATATAAAAACACACAACTCACCGGGAGGGCTCCAGGCCAGGAAAGGGCGGTCTCCTGCGCCGAAGGACCCCTGCCCAGCCCCCCCGAAAGCCTCCTGCTGTTACTCCGGGGCCCCTCTTGACCAGGCGCCGGCGCCGGCGCCGGGGGGGGGGGGCGGAAGGGACTTCGACGGCAGCCAGCTGGGCGGGGCCACTGCGGCCCAAGCCGTGCTGCGGAAGGGCTTCGCTCCGGGAGGAGAAGAGGGCAGGTCTGCTGAGCCCCGGGCAGAGGGCTC